CCCTAAACCCTAAACCCAACCCAATACGTTTCATACACCCAAGCCCCGGAGCCGAAAACCCCCCAAAGTCCTCAAGCCTGAAACTCCCAAACCCCAAGGCCCCATCGTTTGAACTCCCAGAACTTACACCACAACCCTAAACCCTAGTAAACCCTAAACCCTAAACCCCTAAACCCCTAAACCCCTACCAGAACCCCCCAGCTTCCGGAAGACAAAAACCCTGAGCCTGCTATAGCCTTTCAGGAGCTGGTTGCCGTGAAGAGAGGGCCGACTCTCGTCCTTGAGGTTACGGGATTTAGGGTTTAGGGTTGAGGGTTGAGGGTTTAGGGTTTAGGGTTCAGGGGTTGGGGTTTAGGGTTTAGGGTTTAGGGTTAAGGGTTTACGGATACGCTTTGTAGCCGAGTAGTAAAGCATTGCGTTGGAGTGGCATAGTTAATCCCAATATACTCGCAGACGGTAATCGTTAGCTCGCCCACATATGCAACTGAGGGTTTAAGTCACCTACAGACGGCGTCGTATGTAAGCCTTCGGGGTTCAGAGCTAGATGTTCAGGGACTTCGGGTCGTAGTTGAAGGTGTAGGGGTTTGCGGTTGAGAACTTGGGGTGCCGCGCTTTTGGACCTGTGCTGAAGCGATCAGAGTTCAAGCACATGTATGACATGGGGCCTTGTAGTTCCAAGTGCTGAGACTCTGAGACTCTGTTACAATGAAGGAAGCCTTGTGCGGTGTCTGGACTGCCTTCGGTGACGCGCCGGGTTGCCAGGACCTGCGTAAAGAATCCAAAGCCCCAAGAGCTCTACTAGGTTCATGGCGGTTTAGGCGCTTTTGTGGGGCGAAGGTCATGAAGACAGAACTGCCCGAGACCCCTTGCAGAGATCAAGCGACTCCACGCTTAGGCAGACGTTCAGCAGCTTCTTCGCGGCGACTCGATCGTGCTTGAGCTTTGGTTTTTAGGGTTCAGGGCTATCGGGTCCCAGGTCCGACCGAGTCTCCAATGATTGCCAAATAGAAGGTGGTCTTCTTGCTGAGAATATCGGTTTGAGCCGCTGCTTGCGCCAGACGAGTGGTAAGTATGTGCATATATATATATATACACAAACAATGCAGACATACATACAGACATACCTACGTACATACTTACATACGTACGACATACGTACGTACAGACATACATACCTGCCTACGTACATGCGTACATACATACATACATACATACATACATGCATGCATACATACATACATACATACATACATACATACTTGCTTACATACATGCGTACGTACATACACACATGCATACATACACACATACATACATACAGACACATATACATATGTACACAAAGATAGATGTAGATGGGGATGGATGTGCATATGATTCTATATGCATATGGGTTTGGATATGTACGTTTATGTGTATGCGTGTGTACATGTATATGCAAATGCATATGTATATGTCTATGCGTATGTATGTGTAGGTGTATATGTATATGTATATTTACATTATATGTGTATGTATATGTATATGTAGAATGTAGAAGTATATGTATGTGCACACAGTCCATTATACATATATGTTCATATGCATGTATATGCACACACACCTGTTGTATGTATGTATGTATGTACGTATGTATGTATGTAAGTATGTATGCACGTATGTATGTATGTATGTATGTATGTATGTATGTATGTATGTAAGTATGTACGCATGTATGTATGTATGTATGTATGTACGTATGTATGTATGTATGTATGTATGTATGTATGTATGTATGTATGTATGATGTATGTACAAATGCATGTATACGAATATGTATATAGATATGTATATAGAGATAGAAATACATATGTAGGTATAGACATCGACATAGATACAGGTACAGGTGCAGATATAGAAACAGAAAGCCAGAGGAATAGACACAGCAAGCGATACATACATATATATATATATATATAGATACAGAGATAAACATGCACATATACATGTGCATACATACATGCACATACCTGCAAACATTGCACTACATACACTGATGCATTGGTACATAGATACACTGATGTGTTGCATTGCATTGCATTGCATTGCACCGCATTGCAATATTGCAGTGTTGCATCGCATGTCGTCGCATAACACGATGTAACCGGTCATACTAGTAGCATGGGAAACAGGACGTAAGGCTCATTTCGTACAGATGTAATACATTACGCATTACACAACAGTCTGCTGCATTGCCTGACCTGGCCTTAGCTTACATAGCAATAATTTCACCTTTGCATTTACGTTCGAATATAAACTGAAGTGTACATACGCTTCATGAATTTCTACGGGAATACCATCAGTTCGTAATTATTCAGACCCCGTTTTTACCTTTGAGGGCCCGTCCTCTCCACGGAAAGCTCGAACGAGCACTTCGTCTCGCTCCGATGAGGACAGGATCGAGCCTCCACAAGGAGATCGCGTCTCGCAGAGCCAATAGGAATCTACTAGAGGGGCCTTAAGAAGTGGAACTGGGGTTTTGGGGTATATTATACCATAATTATAATAAGAAGCCCCCCAAAAATAGGAAAGGTAATTCTTTAGGCCCCTATATCAGTAGTAGTTGAGTTTGTCTCAAATCCTCGCATCACTAGTGTTGCAAGCAGCCCCGGAGGATAGTTCGGGATCTTTCTGCTTTTGGGTTTAGGAATGGAAGCCCGCCCTTGACGAAACCGGCCTTCTGCGATTTTTGCCAACATGATATCCACTTGCGGTTTCGTCGCTGAGAGAGCGCACAGAGCCATGAGCACTGCAGAGGTGTCCTCAGTCACATGGGTGGTTCTCTAAATTAGGGTCGCATTTTCGGTCCCCAATATAGTACGGCACCCTTATAAAAAGGACCCTGAAAGGGACCCTAATTTAGAAAACTACCCACGTGTCTTTTGCAAGCTGGCCTATCATGTCTGCTTGAGCTCGTTGCGCAGTTGCTACCGCTACCGATACACCTCAAACTTCAACTGGGGCTTCGGCGTACATGGGATTTCCCACGACCTCCTTCTTCAAAACCGACACATCGCCCAAAAGACGCGGAAACTGGTAGAAGTCCAACGGTGGATTCGAGGAAGAACCGGACACGTAGCCTGACAGGAATCACGCTCTACCCTTAACCCTACAACCCTACAGTACCCCAACGGCAAACAGATGCGAAGCTGAAAACCTGACAAACCACCAAGCGAATATGGGGTCTGACTAAGTAGAAGCACGATTCCTTTGAAGGGTTCTTTTGCAAGTTGCTTTTAAGGGTGTTATAAGGCGTATCGTGGCCTGAAGAGTTGGAATAGGGCTTTGGGGACTTCGAAGGCACCATACTTTAAAAAAAGCAACGCTCACGACTACTCTTGGTAACTACTTAAGCACCTTTTATGTGGCAAGCCTGCCTGACCGAAACCTCCAGAAAGAGCGTTCCAACCATCGGTGGTCTGATGCATTCTGATGCACTAAATTCGGGTCCCTTTCAGGATCGTGGTTTGGGAGGGACCTACAAGACGAAAGGGACCCTAATTTAGGGAACTACCCACATGCTCAGGCAGCAGCTGCCCGTGAAATGAGAGCGGTCCGATAGTCCGACTGGGAGGTTCAAAGGTAGTTATAAGTGGGGTTATGAGTAGGATTACTATAGTTATAATCCATATTAGGGGACATATAACCCCTCCTCATTATCGAACTACCCATGGACCTCCAAGTACAAGCGGTCACAGCAATGCCGAAATTACTTCGAGTGCTACGCACTTGACCTCAGGCCGCAACGAGAGTAGTAGGCCTGACCGGGTATATTAAGCCGTCCCTCCATTAGTGTGCCCGGTCACCCTTGACAGCCGCGGTTCGCAGCCAGTCATTTTACTGCGTCAGAATACAGGTCACAAGGTGCACTTAAAACCTTAGACAAGGCCTCTGCATTGTGCTGGGTTGGGCGTGACGCCGGCATCGAACGCACCTTAGACAAAGTATTCATCCGCTTGGACGACAGAACTGTCCCAACCATTGATTTGCATGCATACACAGGAACACATACTCATCCGTGCACATTCCTTGTTCCTGCTGATGGTCATCTTTTTGTCGCTACTATAAGGGCCTTACTAAATTCGAATGGGGCGTTGAGCTATACTATACTGTGATTTCATAGGGACTACAATACTAACACTACCGCAGGCTATCGATATCAAAGTACTTTGGAGTTTTCTGGCGGCCCTAGCACCAGGACATAATCCTCAACCTGGGTTTATGGTTGTAGGTTTGGGACCTCAAATCTAAACCCAAAAGCCCTAAACCCCTTCTCCCTTTCCGGCAAGCTGCTGAAGGCATAGATTCGAAGCAGCTTCCCAGTGATCTCCGTCAGTGCCAAGCTCATTACCTCTCCACTTGGAGGTGGGGTTTGTAGGGTTCCTTTATTGGTTCTGTAGGGTTTCGGGTTTAGGGTAGTTACAAGTGGGGCTATAAGCAGGGTAACTGTAACTATAACTATAACCCATGTTAGGGGACTTATAACCCCATTAATAACCACCCATGAACCTCCAAGCAAGGTTGTCAGGACTCAGGGTTTAGGGTTGAGGGTGCCTAGAGGTTTGGGAACTTAGGTGGAAGAAAAGCCCAGGCCCTGAAGCCTTAAGCTTTGTCAACCCTGCAACCCCTAAACCCTAAGCCCTACAAATCACCATGAGCCCCCAAAAACCCCTAAACCCTAAACCCTTTAAATGAACACAAGCCCCAAAACCCCTAAACCCTAAACCTAAACCCTACAAATCACCATAAGCCCCAAAAACCCCTGAAACCTTAAACCCTTTAAATCACCATAAGCCCCAAGACCCTAAGCTGTGACTTCTGAGGCCGGCTAGGCCCCATCGGGAGGGCAGAGGGGTCTCCACCAAACCAGAACGGCCGGGATTACACAGGTGTTCTCGAGTTTAGGGGTCTAGGGCTTTAGGGCTTCAGGGTTTAGGGGTTTAGGGTTTAGGGTGCTCGAGAACTATGCACGCATGTATGGCTTTGGTAAGGTGCTTTTCTGATGGCTAAACCCGGAACCCTATCGATGCTATTGCTGCGGTATTGGGGGTGTTTTTGCTGTAGCTTGGGCAGGAAGTGCCCGTTCACGCAATTCCTGGATTGCTGGTGCTTCTGCTGCAGAGCACAACGACAGAAAAGCAGCATAAGCAAGACAACCTCCCGTTCTTCACATGCACATCTCGTTAAGTAAATAACTGAATAGGTTGTAAGTTGAAAAAGTCATATGTATATATGTATATGCATTACGGCATGATGGTGCCTTCACTATGGTACAGAACAGTATAGTCATTCTATACACAGAGCACCAAAATGGCGATTCATAAACACTGACATGCATATGCAGCTTATGCAACCACAACTGCACATATGAAGGATGATGCCTTCTAAGTTTCGTTGCGAAGCGCCAGTCCAACACTTGTAACGCTCGCTTCATGAGCGCTGATCCTTGCGACCCTAGAACCTGTTTCTATACACTCGCCCCTCCCTAAACCCTAAACCCCCAAACCCCTAAACCCCTAAACCCTATCCGTCTCGAATCTAAACTGGCCGGCGGCTCTCCGATCAGGTGTCTAAATGTCGCCTCGTCCACGGTCAAGACCTCCAAAGCCGCGTCGCTGAGCGACCCGGCCGACTTTATGTCCTTTCCAAACGTCACTTTCTGAAACATTCGACAACATGATGAATAATTATTGCAGGACCTTGTGCATACGATATGGACATAAAACCTTGTCTTGCACAGCGTACATGCAGCTCGCCGCCGGTCTGCGCAGTCTGCATAGCTCTATTGCGACTTGCTCTCGTTTAAACCTCTGCCGCAAGGGGTAGCTTCATGTCGCCCCAGCGCGCGTAACGCCGCGACACTGCATGGTCACGTTGGGAGTGTAGTGCTTGATTGTGAAGGCTTCCGTATCCAGAATCAGGGTATCATGAAGTGCTAAACCCACGCCAAACAGCTTGACACCATGTGCACGCGCAAAGATACAACATCAAGTCCATTAAAGTATGTCCATACCGATTGCCGGGACTTGTTCAGAATGGCTTCCCCCCAGTGTGCACGCGCAAAGGTATGACTTCACTCGGGGCGGTACGACTTATCGCAACCCCCCGGTATTGCAACTGGGTCTATATAATTACAGAAACCTCATGATACTGCAAAACTTTGAAAGCTACTTACGCACCACAGAAGACGTGACAAACCCAACCATTTCCTCCACTTGGAGCGAAGAACATGCGTAGCTTCCGAGTCAGGGGCTGCACAAGAAAGGCAATGTCTGAAGGAGTGACGAGGAGCCAAAATCCACAGAACCGCATATGGGGGCCGTTACAATTTCAACAGTCTCCCTCAGGGTTCCTAGCTTAGTCATAATAAGGGTTTAGGGTTTAGGGTGAATACATGTAATGGCACCATAATTTGCACCGAAACCAAATTCTAGTTATTAAAGACCCCCTATGTTAAATGCCAAAACAAAACCCACGACGACCTGAATGCACTGGAAGGTCAGTTGACATGAGTCAAGAGTGCACAGAGCCTGTGTACGAATCGACCATATAATCGACAACGGAATGCTGATAAATAACGTACCGGTACTCTTTCTCTGTATTGAAATTCTCAGGGCCGGGTTGTGACTTGCAGGCCGCGCAGCTAGCAGAACTTACCGAAACAACCACCGCAGAAAGAACGAAACCAGCAACCGAAACCAGCAACCGTGACCTTCATCAAACTCGGAAAAGCAGGGTGATTCCCGGCTAACAGGTTGTGAACTTGTGAACGCGTCGGAGGCGCAACAGTGTTCTTGTCTTGCACCCCCTGGCAGCAAATTTCGGGAGTCCTGCACGCACTCGGACGCCATGAGGGACCTGCCCACTGTCCAATGCAACTGCTCTTGCGTGTAATGCCGCTCTTCATACTTCCCAGTAGGACCCTGATCGTATCAGTGCTGGCTAAATACATTCAGCGTTTGATGGTGATGGTATTAAGACCACTACCGTCAGTCTTTGCTTCTAAGAAGCAATGGCGGGAGTAACAGCAACAGAAACAGTATAGTTGTGGTAGCTGCAGCTCAGGCGAGAGCCCATCAGGCGAGAGCACCAGAAGAAGAAGCAGCAGTGGTGGCAACAAAGGCAGCAACGCAGCAGGAGGTAGGACTATCAGGATGCGCATGAACAACAGAAGGAGCAGCGACAGGCTGAGCACAGAGAAGACGAATAAGTGTGGTAGTAGCACTGTAGCAGTCGATATCGTCTAGGCTTTAAAGACCATTGAAAACCCAAATACATATGTTGCGCAATACGTTATACCTATAACTAATTTACAACCCTAACTTGTCCCACGGCCTAAACCCTAAACCCCTCAACCCTAAACCCCTCAACCCTAAACCCCTAAACCCTAAGCCCTAAACCCCTAACCCCCTAAACCCCTAAACCACAAAGCCCTAAACCCCTAAACCCTAAACCCCTAAATCACAAAGCCCTAAACCCCTAAACCCGCCTCCAAGTACACGGATGGCCCTTGACCATCTCCTTGATCTTGGGATTTCCGAACTTGTCTTTCCTTGGTGGTTGTTTTGGGGCCCGTTAAAAGTATTTATGAACATGGGGTTTAGGGTTTAGGGTTTAGGTTCCTCCATAGGAACCACAATGGGAAATCAAGAAGCTTCCCAAAGTGCCACCTCGTTTCGAGTTGTCATGCCCTCTGGAGACCTTCACGTAGTTCTCCTCGGGGTGCAAAGCGCAAGGTGAGACTTTCCTGAATAACCTCTCCGAGACGTTTTGAGCTTCTGCTGAGCCCCCTAGACCTTGACCTTTAGGATTTAGTGTTTAGGGTTTAGGGTTTAGGGTTTAGGACCGTAAGGCAGAAGCCGGTACGATAAAAAGCGTGGCCTGGCGCTACCAGAATCCCAAACCAAAGCTCCAAGCCCCTCCGGAATATCATCAACCAAAACCTGAACCCAATACTCCCACCGCCAAATCCTACACCTCAAACCTCAAACACACTACCCCTTAAACCCCAAAACCCAACCACCCCAGATCCTCTGACTGTACACTCTAAAGCCTAAACCCTTAGCTCTAAAGCCTAAGCGCAAAGCCCAAAAGCCTAAACCCAAAAGCCCCAAAACCGAAACCCAAAGCCCTGAAGCCCAAACCCAAAGCCCTAAACCCGAAACCCAAAGCCCTAAAGCCTAAACCCCAGCCCTACGCCCTAAAGCCCTGCCCTAAAGCCCTAAAGCCCTATAAAGTCTAACCCAATGACCTACGCCATAAAGCCCTAGAGCCCTAGGCCCTAAACCCCTAAAGCCCTAAAGCCCTAAAGCCCTGCCAAGGTTCAAGAACCGCTTGCTTGATAGCGGGTCGGAGTTCGAGCCACCATGTCCTTCGTTAAACAGTTTCAATCTTTAGGGTTTAGGGTTCAGGGTTTGAAGCTTAAGTTTAAGGCTTTAGGTTTAAACTGTAGGATTGAGGACTTGGGGTTAGGGTTTAGGGGCTTAGGGTCGGGCTTGGTGCAAGGGGGAAGTCTAGATCTACAGCAACCGGAAATCGTCTTGGAAATCTGATGTAGTACATTTCCTTAAGCAAAACCAAGGCAACACTTCGTGGTTAAACATCCCTCAGGTTTCAGTTTCTTCTGTGATATTAGTTTCGCAGAATACGGTCTTCAGGGTGTGGGGTAATATGGGGGCCTAATACCATTTCGGGGCTCCATGTCGCAATGATAGTACGAACACCACAAATGTCTATTCTATCTACCAAGGCCCCTACAGTATGCATGGTATGCCCCGTGGGCATCCAACGGCACATAGGCGACACATCGACTCGATTTGCATGTGCTTCGCAGAAGATGACGTCAGCACACTGCTCAAGGGCAGCCAAGTCTCATCGCCTTCTTGAAACTTGCATCATCCTTTCCTGCAGAGCCGATGTGGGTAGTGTGTGCCAGTTGAACAACTTGTACGGTTTAGGGTTTAGGGTTTAGGGTTTACGTAGTCATTGTAGTTGCTACGATTTCCCGGTGCCGTCATGGTTCCCACCCACTTCTCACGGTGCTTTTCCTGTCTAGGTGCTACTGCAAGACCAAGTATCGCTAGTGCTGTGCGTTCAACTACTGGTGCTTGGGCATTCTTGCCATGTTGTCAAGATGAGAAACACTTGTTAATGACTTCGATGCGTTCACTATGAAAATTACGTTTACACTCGTTTGCTGCGCCTTTGCGGGCATTGAGGCACTGTGCTTCATTACTATAGTCGCCACACTGCGTTGCCGGGCCTTGGGCTCGGGTTGTCAGGCAATTTTTGAGCAAACATCACCTAAACCCCAAACCCTAAACCCTAAACCCAGATTCTCAGCTCCCCGCTGCTCTCTGCGAAAGACGCATAAGCGTGTTCCACGACTACCTCGGATCAATGTCGCTCTTGTCGGGCCCAGACTTGGAGGTTCATGGGTAGTTATAAGTGAAGTTATACTGCTGTTGGACAAAATTCTGCATGACCCAAATATAGTATAGTACCATAAATCCCATAGTCTAGGTATATAAGGTCATGCAGGATTTTGTCCATCAGCCGTATGTAGGCTAACTATAGCTATAACAACCCATATTAGGGGACTTATAACCCTACTTAAAACTACCCATGAACCTCCAAGTAGCCATGCGCACCCAACCGAACTGAAACTGCTGCTGCGCAGTTTCCCTCCGACGGCTGATAAAAATGCCGTTCTTATCGTCAACCATGGTTCATGTTACTGGTGTCGCTGCTGCTCATGCTTGCCAAAGGTTGCGTGTGTTGCACGTGCAACACCAACTTAGAGAATTTGACGGCCTCCGGCTATGACGACGGAATATATTGCGCTGTCCAGGACATGTTCTGGAAATCTCGGGTGGGGGCCTGGAGAGGCACCTGCGAACCTCGACAGAAGCTGCGAAACAAGTATCACGACTGGCGCACAAGATACCTGACGCGCTCCTCAACCGCCAAACCCTAGCACGTCGTCGCGTTCTGGCCCGGCGCCCGTCTCGCAGCTTCACCCCATGTTCGGCGACTCCCTAGCGCTAGCCCAATCTATGAGAAGTATGGAGAACTACAACACTACTACGATTGCCACCACTACCACTATACGAAAAACGGCAACAACAACAACAACAACAACAACAACAACAGCAACAGCAACAGCAACAGCAACAGCAACAGCAACAGCAACAGCAACAGGAACAGCAACAGCAACAGCAACAGCAACAGCAACAACAACAACACCCCCACCACCAACACCACCACCGCCACCGCCACCACCAACAACAGGAACACCCACAACAACAACAACAACAACAACAACAA